TTTGGATATGTTTAATTGTCTTGCCCTATCAGCTATTTTAAAAGGTGGGCAGGTAATAAGAGAGGATGTGACTGATGCATGATGGAAAGTATAGGCAGTGATTTGTTGTGTATCTACAACGTTCAAAAATCCTTGATCACCTTCTTTTTGTGCTCTGCTTTCCTTTCCATTTTAGAAAATGGGCCTGTGAGTACATTTCTTTTAATGTGCCGGCAGAATGGACTATGCAAACACTGATCAATTTAATCAATTACATAGATGTCAAATATGGTATGAATGCTAATTCTTTTTAACTATGACTTCTGTACAATACAATTTGACCTGTGTAGATTTAATTCCAACAGTGCGGGAGAAAAAATGATCATGCATTCAGCGGAGATGCTTTAGGCCATCTGGTTAAATCTGCTTCAATTTAGCAATAACCTGAGATGAACTCGAAATGGAGGCAAGGCTTAACTTTGGGGCAATTTCATAGTTAGGAACACCCTCAGCCTGAGGCTGTATGCCCTAATTAACCTGCCCACTGTGAATATGCCTGGCCCATTCTATTACTTAAAAAAATTCTGCCTGAAATGATACTCCTAAAATCAGCAGTTTAGAAGAGTTAACAAATTATATGAATTGGATCCTACTGCAATCTGCACTAGAATCCAATAAGCTGTTATTATTTTATCCACAGTGGCAGTAATTAACCAACTCACTCTTGAATAAGAAGACAAATGATCCAGCTCTTTCCTTCCTATAAACAAAAAGTTGTTGTTAGCTATTCTAAATATCTCTACGACTCTTTCCTTTAAATGGTTTTCATTTAAGGTTCATGTATGAGATCACATAACATGTTGTGATATTATAGTTGCATCCTTTTCTTTATGCATGTTTATGCTTGGTAACCACTCAACATCTGACTGTCATTCATGTCTTATACAGACTTATACAGAAATCAGCAGAGCAAATGGCTGCTACAACTTTCAGGTGGACACTCTGTGACTTAGTTCTTCTATGACCTGTCAGGACAGAGGAGGGAATATTTCGTACTTGCAACTTTAATAACTCTCATCTAGAGTTAGCTGAGGTTAATGAGCAGAAAGTGCACCCTTCTTTAAGAGTGAAGCAAGCAGGCCAGAAATATGTCCTACATCTGTCTCTACAGATGATTTCCATTGACATGAAAGGACATGAACAGAGTAGGGTTCCCTTCCTCCTCAGAAAGATGACAAAGGAGATGGCAGATTCTTGCTAGTATAAATCCCACCTACTGGCCTTTACCTAAAGGATCCAGAACAAGGAACCATCTCTTTTTTTAAAAAAGACCTTCTTCATTTATTAGAATATTTTTGTAAGCCGCCCAGAGACCTTTGGGTAGAGTGGGCGGCATAAAAAAGACCTTCATTTATTAGAATATTTTACATGTATGATTCCTGCTATCCCTTTTTCGAAGTCGTCAGCTTACAGCTCTCTGTTCCAATTTTCTTAAAATTGTAAAATGAAAACAATTTCGATTCTGCTGCTTGTACATATGAGTTTTAGACAACCCCCAGTGCTACAGCTTTTATGAGTTCTTGTAGGTTTTCTGTGGATTAGAAACAAATGTCTATTTCTGCACGGCTCTGAACCAATGTTCCCTCTAAGCTGCGTGGATGTGCACCACTGCATTGGTGCTGTGCAGTTGAGCCACTGTTGCCATCTATTTGCTTCAGGTCATAGAAAATTAGCAGGAGCATTGCTCTGAACCACTAGTAAGTAGTGTCTGAGGGATATACCGACACATATTTACTATGTAAACTTTTACATTCCTAAGAGCTAGACAGAATCCAAGTAACTGTTTAAATATTTGTTTTCTGCTTGAGAACTTTACAAATTATCAATAATTGATGCATTCTGCTCTTTTTCTGGAAAACCATTTATGTTCTATGTCTAGCAATGACATCTCCCATATTTTACATTTACGTGTGCATATGTAGGTAGAAGAGAGATATAAATCAGGCTTTGTTGTGTTATAAAGATAACTGATGTACATGTTTCAACAGCAAGTTAGCATCTTATTTTTATATTAATCATGGACAGGCAGAAATGAAACAATTTCAAACGAGGCAGCAAATTCAGCTACTACAGTACTGTTAAAATTGTTAGTTTTCAAATTCAGAACCAGAAAGCTAAAAGGATGTTCTTGCATGCATTCTGCATTACAAACTTAGACATTAAGAATTGCAGAGATACTAGTTTTCACATGACCTTTATACTGTGCACACTCTTTAACTCTTAAATAGTTATCATTTTGTAACTGTAGACATATTCCACCAGAGAAGTAGTTTAAAATGTAATTACATTAATGACTCGGCACACAACCTTATTTCCAGAATTGCACAGGACCAAAAACAAATTAAGCATGAAACATTTCCTGCCCATTTCATTGCTCCCTCCAAAGTTCACCCATGCCCAACCAATTTCACTTTTCTGTTCTATTCTATTCTCAGAAACTCAGATGTTAAAATCTCTAGACTTAATGTATCAATAAAACATCTGCAAACGCCTTTAATTTGCGAAAACAGAGTAACCTAAAAAAACACAACTATTAATTTGCAGGTTTAACTAGGGAAAATACAGCAGACAAAAAGGCAGGAAAGACCAGATCTAAAGATGAACTAACACAGTGGTCCCCAACCTTGGCCTCCAGATGTAGACAAAAAGGCAGGAAAGACCAAATCTAAAGAACTAAAGATGAACTAAAGCAGTGGTCCCCAATCTTGGCCTCCAGATGTTCTTGGACTTCAACTCCCAGAAATCCTGGCCAGCAGAGGTGGTGGTGAAGACTTCTGGGAGTTGTAGTCCAAGAACATCTGGAGGCCCAAGGTTGGGGACCACTGAAGTAAAGAACACAAAGAAACAAGAGTTATCAAATAATAAACATTGCCTCTCATTCTTTTGAACAGAGACCAGGACATGGGGTTGCAAAAGTCTAACACTGCATTGACTAGAAGATGCTGCCATGCATAGCAAACACAGAGACCTTCAGGTAGTGTGAGCGGCATATAAGTAAGTTAAATAAATAAATAAAATAAATCTGTTGTAAAACACAGCAATGGAATGGATGACTTTTCCTGTAACTCTGGGTGTTTTCTTGGTAACTGTATTTTCCATGGAGGATAAAGCTAGCCATGGCTACTAACAATCACAGCAATATATAATCCTCAGTATCAGAAGACACACACCAGTCTGAAGCATTCATTGGTCAGCTGCTGTGGAAAGCACAAAACATGACTAGACAGATCTGTGGTCTTGATCCACTGTTTCTACGTCTAGCACTGTTGCAAACTTTATGAACTCAAAATTCATGAAAGGAATTTAAGAGGTACATGTTGCACTGTCACCCCACCATCTACTACTAATACTGTCCCAATAGGCATCTGTTTAAATATTTAAACAAGATAAACAGTACAGTTTAACTGCTTGTTTTTCTTCATCATGCAACTCTACTCAAATTCATGGTGCTTCTAAAAATATATATGTATCCTATATAGCCCATGCCTAGTTTAGAAACCATAGATATTTTCCAGTAATTCAGCAGCTATAAGTAATACAACTATTGCCAAACCAACCAGAATTGTCTCTAACTATGCAGAAGATTTAGGATGCTCCAATTTGCTTAATTTCTTTTCAGCAGTTCTAATTTCAGCCTATCTTACATTATATAGAATCTTTATTACCCAAAGATAATGAGCTTTCAAAGAGCTAGGCATCCTTGAACTGTGGGGATAAGAAAGGGGGTTGTTTTGCTTGACAGATGGTTCATTGACATTTGCCCATATTCATCTTTTCCTATTGGCTTCTCTCTCTGCTGCTCCACCATCTAGTTTAGATAGTTATAGTTTTGACAACATAACTGGTCTGCATTTCTTATACAACCCTGTATATTGACAGTTATGTCTGAGATAACACAAATCTCTTCCTCCATATGTCACTGTCCAAATGTGAGAAGGAAAACTGCTAAAGCTAATCACTTCCACATTTCTGAAAATGCATCTAACACAACACTAGTCTAAATAATTGCAAACACAGCTGCAGCTGATTTAAAGAAAATGACCAGGAGGGGGTGGTTCTAAATTATAGAGAAAACACTTAAAGCCAAGAAAGCACTCACCACTGCCTAACACAGAGTGAGAGGACCATCACAGTTAAATATATACAAATTATCATGGCTTATATAAGCCTCAAATTCAGAATTTAAACAGGAAGCATTGCTTCAAATATTTGTTTCACTTAGGGCTTTAAACACCATCACAGACTGCCCAGATCTTTTATCTTACCATCAAATATACAACTCTGTTATCAGTTCATTGTGGAGGTTACATTAAAATTTCTTGAATACATAGAGATCAAAGCTAATTCTTGCCACAAAGGAGCAGCAACCTGATGAATGTAATACAGTAAATAGGAGGAGGCTAGGTGGGATATTGTCGACACAAAAGAACAGGACCGCATACTATGATAAGAGAGAGGTCCGTTTATGAAAAGTTATATTAAGAGCACTGAGGTGATGAGAAGTAATGGCACAGGTAGTATTTACGGCCCGCGAAGTTAAAAACTCAGAAATCACGTCAGAAGAAAATCCGTCCGAGCACCGAAGGAAAAAATAACAGAGAGGAACAATGGACATATGCCGATCCCCACTACAATCCATGTCGCACCCCCGGCCACTTTTTCTGCCAGGCCTTAAAAAGACCGTGGATTCACTCGGGGTGGAATCCTGGCCCCAAACTAAAAACAAGTTAACCGAACAATGAGAACTGGACGCGCGAGGGAAGTCCGATTGAGGACAACATCTCTCTCAAACTGGAGGGAGAAGACTGAAATCCAGAAAACCAAGCAATGTCAGGATGGGTCCCAAGTCAAGCTTGAGGTCTGGCTGTTTTCACGGGAGAGGGGAGAAGGTTGGGAGGGAGAGTGGGTTCCAAGAGAATGGGAACATGGGCGCCATCACGGCCATCGCCTCAGCACGTTACCTGCAGGCGACCTGCTTAGTCCAACAGCCGCTACTTCCTCCTCCGGCTCCGGCCGGCGACGGCTGGGGTGCGGCTGTGGGGAGGCGGGAGGCCGTGGTGGTGAGGGTGGTGGCGGAGGCGCTGTCAGCGCTGGTAGCCGTCACGGAAGCTGCCCCAGCGGCCGAGCTCGTTGCTCCCACTGTTCCGCCACCACCGGGGGCCACCGCAGCCTCCGCCATTACTGTTTACCCCACACAGCGATGGCCCCACCGGAACTTCCGGGAGCGCATCCTTCCGGCCCGCTGGACAGGAGGGCGGGGCGACGGGGCGGGGCTTCCCTCGCTTTTGCCTCGCGGGGACGACAACAAGCCCGACGGCGGAGGCAGGCGGCCACTCAGGGAAAGGCTCACGTCAGGAACGTGCGTCCTAATTGGCGCAGCCGTTCTCTAAGCCACGCCCCGAGTGGGACGGGGTGGGAAGGAGGAGTGCGGGGTTGTGACGTTGAGAGGGGCGGGAGCTGAAGGGATTAAAAGCACCTGGGAAAAGGTCATCGTAGTGCTCGGGTTCGGGGGGGGAGAGTGGGCAGAGACGAAGTTGTTCGGTAATTTACGGCAGTTCCTGTCTGTCTCGAGTTCTTAAACCGACCTGAAGTTTGGGGGGTGGGGCGCAGGTGATATTCACACCTGGCGGGAAAAGCCGTGTCGCCGTTTGTGTAACCAGAACAAGACTCACGAGGCGATGGAAAGAATAATTGCTAGAGTTATTGGTCGTCAGCATATGTGGGCTTACAGTCTGCTTTGCTTGACGTTTCCTTCTCAGTTGAGCGATACGTGTCCAAGTTACATACAAGTACAGTATATGGAGACTGGGGGAAAAAGCTGTGTACATAAAGCTTGAACTCGACAAAATAAACAAAGCAATCATTTAAAGCAGCCGTGAGGAGATTTCTTCTGCTAATTAACATTGTTAGTGGAGGAGATCCTGTTGTCTTCCTTCATTCCCAAACAGAGTCAAAATTCCTAGTAAATTCTAATTCTAGCATTTCAGGAGACCATTTAAATTCCTTTGTGGAAAGAACATTTGTGATGCCCAAGGCCAGTATTGCCTCTCACCAGTTAGATCCTGAGCCGTCTCCCCTTTCTTGAGGATTAGGATACCCCCACCCTGGTGCCACTGGTGCCACAACAATAATCTTCTCTTTCTTGGACATGGAATATCATTGGTAGAGCAAAGGATGGATGGTGTGCCATGGTGTCCTCTTATCTTTCTCTAAAAGCAGACATGTTCTCTCTCTGTTGTGGCAAATGCCACAGTGGCAGGATGTTGTGGGGAGGCATTTTGATTTCTGCCTCAAAGTGGTCAGAGAGTTTGTAACCTGTGCAGAAAGCCATGAACAGCACTGAGAGCTGACAGTACTTCCTGCTCTATTCTAGCAGGTGTTTGAAGGCCCTACCCTGGTTAAAACTGTTATCAGCTGGGGACTAAGGAATAAAGGAAGGGATTATTGGATCTCTGGAAACTTCATTTTGCATTCTCTTGTTCCGATGTGCTGTGAGATGTTGCAAATGTTTAAACATTATTTTAGTCTAAAGGTCTTTTAACAGTTTCATTTAATAGCATTTTGATATTCTAACTTACTCTATTTTTTCTACTTTCATTTTTTAAATCATTGTGTAAACTGCAATGGATCCCTGTTAAGAGAAAGACTAGATATAAATGAGCTAAATAAAAGTAATTAATATAATATAATGTGCTGGGGACTAAGGAATAAAGGAAGGGATTATTGGATCTCTGGAAACTTCATTTTGCATTCTCTTGTTCCGATGTGCTGTGAGATGTTGCAAATGTTTAAACATTATTTTAGTCTAAAGGTCTTTTAACAGTTTCATTTAATAGCATTTTGATATTCTAACTTACTCTATTTTTTCTACTTTCATTTTTTAAATCATTGTGTAAACTCCAATGGATCCCTGTTAAGAGAAAAACTAGATATAAATGAGTTAAATAAATAAAAGTAATTAATATAATATAATGTCATTTAATAGCATTTTGATATTCTAACTTACTCTATTTTTTCTACTTTCATTTTTTAAATCATTGTGTAAACTGCAATGGATCCCTGTTAAGAGAAAGACTAGATATAAATGAGCTAAATAAAAGTAATTAATATAATATCATGTGTGTTCTATGATGTCAAGTGACTTATAGTGCCCCTAAATAGGGCTTTCAAGGTATGTGAAATATTTAAGGAGTGACTTTATCAGTTCTACTCCCTTAGTGAGTTTCCATGGCCAAGTGGGGATTCAAACTCTCTTCTCCAGAATCCTAGTCAGTTACTCTATCCACTGTGTGTATACAGTGGGGTCTTGACTTGAGAACTTAATCCGTATTGGAAGGCGGTTCTCAAGTCAAAAAGTTCTCAGGTCAAATCTGCATTTCCTATAGGAATGCATTGAAAATCATTTGATCCGTATCTGCTCTTTTCCGTCCATAGCGTTACTCTATCCACTGTGTGTATATACACATCATGTAACATTTCCAAATGTGTAGAGGTAAAAGGAAAACTGAAAATATGGAGTTGAAAAAAATACCTATAAGCATTTGCAGATGTGAATATGTGTGCAATATATTCTGTTTCTGTTGTCTGCGTTCACCTTTAAATTTACTCACATAAATACATTTAGTCCATTTGTACACAAACATTCATTCATACATAAACACTCATTTCCATCATTCATTAGTAGCCATGTTGCTGGAAGCTTGTGAGAGTCGTAGTACCAAGAAATAACATTGCCAAGTTCTCACCATTTGGTCTATACTTTCCCCTGACCCCTGAAATTCCTTCCCTCCAACAGACCATTTGATCTTTCACTGTGCTCTCATGTTTCTGATGACAAGTTGGAAGTGTTCAAAAACATTGCATAACGGCTCAGATTCAGCAAAGGATTGGTATGGGTCTTATTTTAATAGCTGGAAATCACAGCTGTTAGGTTTGGAAGATTGAGAAACTGCAGCTTTTATTTATTTATTGATTTGATTTGATTTGATTTGATTTGATTTATACCCCGCCCATCTGGCCTAAAAGGCCACTCCTACTAATATGAAACATTTCTCCTTTCATTAGGTTTGTCTCTGATTTTTAAAATTGTAAATTGGCCAACCATAATTTTTCTACAGCACTGGATGTTTTGCACCACAATTGTTATCTTTCTGTATTCCTAAAAAACGACATACAAGTTACCTTGACTTCTCAGAATAAATTATTTCGAAAGTTCAAAAGGAAAACCATTTAAAGCCAAAGAAATCACAGATGTTTTCTCAAAGTTGACATATGAGCCTCCTTTTTCACCCAAGCAGTGGTTACAGAGTGGCAGCTGCTTTGTTCTGTTAATGATAAATGGATTTGCTTAGCAAGTCGGTGGCTGGAATGCAGGACAGCTGGAGCCGAAATCATTCTGTTGCCGATTCCCACCACGCCTGCCTTCTTCCAAGTGCTGGTCACATGAAACGTTCAGCTAGCATATGGTCAAAAATAACAGGCACAGAGGTAAGGAACTGGCCATATTGCCACCTTCTTCTGCTGCAGAAGGCAAATGCTACTTAAATACTTGATAAATGAACAGGTTGGTATGGAACTGTGACATTTCTTATAAGAACACAGGGCTTACTGAAGTGGCTGGTAAGATTAAAAACTTGTAGCAGTGAATCTCGTTTAATACTGAAACCAAGTGTAGACATGGTATAAAATAACTTGAAGCAAAACTATGCTACATTTGATTGAGGTCTACTTTGCTGCATTTTTGTATTTTACATTTGAGTGGATAGTTGTCTAATTATTATTTTTATTCTGGTGTGCATGTATTTCCAATAAATTCTCTGCACTTTTGGTTGGGCAGTCCTTTAAAAGGCTTTAGAGGAGTAGCCGTGTTAATCTGTTTCAGATTCTGCATAGACAAAAACAAAACAGAAGTAATATGGCACTTTGAAGATTAACTAACTTCGTTCAGTGTGACATTTGATGGCTTACAAGCCACTTCTTTAAACAGATGGAATATGCAGTCATTTTGCTCCCAGAGGCACAGCAGCAGATGGTAGGTAGCCTCTGCCCAACCAGGTGAAGGACCCAAAGCTAGTCAGAGTAGTTCCCCAAAGTTCCACATCACAGCATCTGATAGACAAATACATCTACAAATATTTCACAAATAAACTAATTTGGCTTTTCTAGTCTTTTTCATCACAAAATTTTGAATTATTTTCCCCAACTCAATTGCTCAGGCAAACTCACCCTTGACAGACTAAATAGCTTGATATATTAGGTTACAATTCTGTCTCTAACCTGGAAATAAATGCTATTTAAATCATTCAGCCCATTTGTTTGCAGAAGTTAGCAGGATGGCACTGTTAACTATTTCTGCTCTATTGCAGAACATCAGCAATTTTTTTAAAATGTTTTCCAAAATTTACGTTTCTGCCATATACATATAGAAAAGGCTGTGTCCCTGTAGCTAGAGATAATTTATTTGGAAGTTTTGCTTAATGGCATAAATCTTGTTGCTCAATTATGCAGACAGCATGACTTTTAGACTGAATTGCCATAAATTAAGAAATCTCTATATGCATTATGTTCCTTTGACAAGTTGCACGACTTGCTATGCAACAAGTGCTGCTTGTGTACTGAGTCTACAGAGATTTTTCAATTTACACCAATTTGTATCTAAAAGTTACACTGTTAGTGTAACTGCATACATTTCTCTTAGGTGTTCCGCATTATGTTCCTTTGACAAGTTGCATGACTTGGTATGCAACAAGCACTGCTTGTGTACTGAATCTACAGAGGTTTTTCAATTTACACCAATTTGTATCTAAAAGTTACACTGTTAGTGTAACTGCATACATTTCTCTTAGGTGTTCAATACACTTTTCTGAAACCATACCTAAAGCTCTCCCTGCTCTTGCATTAAACAATTGGCAGGAAGATGATCAGGAAGATCACTTGCAAAGTAAAACATTTACTCAAATATTTGGAGCTTGTTATCAGCCGCTGTAGTTCTAACTCTCCATGGGATCAATGTCCCTATTACGGCCTTTGCTTTGTCTTTCCATCTGATATGCCTCCCTTGTGCCCATGCACAAAGGACTCTGGGACTGGCAATAAATACATAACATAGAAACATAAATTTCAGCTTGCAATCCAAAGTTAGCAAAGACATTTGGGAATGAATGCAGAGTTTGCTCCTTTCTGATCATCTTCTTTTTATTGTTCATGGTCTGCTGTGCACAGAATGACTGGGAAGCCTACTTTTTTTATCAGAGTCTGCACCGTAGCCATGGCTCGCCATATTGCCCGTGTGAGAAGATCTTTGCACAGTGAGTATTGCCTAAAAAGAATGTTCTGTATTCTTGTTAACAACAATAGTAAGAGAGAGTCTCAGGGCACTGGCTTAAGGGTCTCTAGACAGGGTAAAAATCTCAAAGCAGGGGTCTTTAGAGCAGAAAGTAGTTTTGGGTTTTGTCTTTCAAAGAATTGCTGTGCTGGGTCTCTAGAGAGGGTAAAAATCTCAAGGCAGGGGTCTTTAGAGCAGAAAGTAGTTTTGGGTTTTGTCTGTGAGGTGTCTTTTAAACCTGGTGATTCATCTCCACCCATTCCCAGTTAATGCTTAGGACCCCTGGCACAGTACATGGTGTTTGTAATTGTCTTGGGCTTGCTTCCTATCTGCGACTTGCCTACTTTACCTCTGTGACATCATCTGCACTACTTCTGGTTTCATGTCTTGGCTCTGGAATCTGAGGGGACGGGTTGGTGGAGTTTTATTTACAACCTTGCATGCTGTCTGTAATTTGAGTGACTGGGAGGAACTTTTCTGGACGAGCGCCATTGTTTATCTCGCACTAACCAATTGCAGTATTCCTTTTAGCTTTTGAATTCAAAGAGTCTCGCCTCTCTTTTCAGTGTCCCATCCCCCTCTTTTGTCAGTTTGTGACAGTTGTTTTTGCCGTTGATTTGTTCAGTTGGTTGCTAATATGTGCGTAGCAAAAAAAGAGGAGTATACACAAGTCTGCAATTTCAAGCAACGCCGTTGATTTGTTCAGTTGGTTGCTAATATGTGTGTAGCAAAAAAGGAGTATATGCAAGTCTGCAATTTCAAGCAACTGGAAGTAAAGAAACTTTTTTCTCTGACAACTTCTCAGGTGAGTTATGGAGATTTTAAGTGTGTAGCAAAAAAGGAGTATATGCAAGTCTGCAATTTCAAGCAACTGGAAGTAAAGAAACTTTTTTCTCTGACAACTTCTCAGGTGAGTTATGGAGATTTTAAGTGCTTTTTTTCTCTGACAAAGGTCTCAGGTGAGTTATGGAGATTTTAAGTGCCAGTAATTGAGAAAGGAGTGAACTCAGGGGAAGCTGGAGCTGTACTTCTACTGCGTAGCAAAAAGAAAAGTTTATCAGAAATTCAAACTCTGCAACATGAGTTGCTACTGAATTGGCAACTGCAGCATTGATTAAAGCCGGGATAGTACATACAGAGAATATATGGACAGTAGGTTTTAAAGAAATGTTATGAGAATAAGGGTTTGAAATATTCTTGGTTTCCCTTGGTACAAACAATTCTTCATGGTTTTATTCCAGGTGGCAACTTCATGGTTCATCCATGTGTGAAGGAAGCTGTGGATGGTGGGAGACCTGTTGTTGCCTTGGAGAGCACAATCATTACCCACGGCATGCCCTATCCCCGGAATCTGAGGTTGGCAGCTTTTCTGAGACAGCCACATTGGCAAGTTTATTGTTCACTACAACAGGGGTGACCAAAGTCCCAGCCATGGGTCTCACATAGTCCCTGCAGGAATTTTTTCTCTCTTTTTTCCAGTCATCCCAGAGACACCGCAAGCCAATATAAAACAAGAGAGGCTTCCATTTAGAGCCCAAATGCAGCCCAGGGCAGTTTCTTGGGGTACAAATTAGCACCCCACCTCCCGGGCTGGTCAGATTTGCCCACCCCTTGACCAGAGACCAATTCACCTAATCCTGTGTATCATTTGACGTCGTTTCACTCTGTAGGAGTCCTTTCCAGTTCAAAACTCTCGTGCAGAACTAGAGCGATTATTTTAATCTATGGTTTCTTAACTTGAAATCTGTCTGGGTATGATCTCAGTAAGAAAACTACACCAAAAGATATGCCTATGTAAATTAGCACTTTGAGCTGAACCTATTTGTGCGTTTACTAGGAAAGATACTGGATGTTGTCTAAAGGCAGGTCCACTCCATATCCATGGGCAAAGTTCTTCTCATTCTTTTTTGATGATAACCATCTTCAGCAACTTTGCCTCAAAATCTTGTTCATTGAAAAAAGCCAGAAGTAGATGCTTAAGTAGATTCCAACCATTCCTCCTCCCCTGCATTTTTGCTCCATTCCCCCTTTAAAACTTCGAAAAGTTACTTTGGGGATTATTGACTGTCCTAGCAGTGGAATTCTAGCCAGGGCATACAAAAACTTAGTTTTCCAGGAGGCGAACAGCTGCATATCAGAAACAGAATATAGTAAGTGATTCTGTCATGCTGATTTCATTGGAAAGCTAACCCTTCACTTCCTTGATTTCATAGAAACTTGTACGCTAACAATGTGGCCACAAGAGTTATATGTGTCTGGTGGGAATCTTTTACTACCATGAAAACTAATAAAAGATTAGTTGTATGTAAGGATTTATCGAGGAACTGCTTCAGGGGAAAAATGAAAAGTAAACGGGGTTGCTCTGTGGGGCTAGGTGAGGAAGCATCATTCTCGGTTTTCCTGCCAAATTAATTGTTCTACTTTCCCCTCCCCATTTGCTTGTATTACTTTGTGCTGAATTGTGCCAGCATGGCCAGAGAGGTGGAAGAAATTGTACGAACCAATGGATCTGTGCCAGCAACAATTGGTGTCATAAATGGATGCATCCGTGTTGGGCTCCAGGATGAAGAACTTGAGTTTCTGGCAAAGAGCAAAAATGTTGTGAAGGTGTCTCGGAGAGATCTTCCCTATGTTCTCAGCCAGGTATTGGACCGAACTCTTTGTTGTGCTTGTTGGCCTCAGTCCAGGCTGGGTACAGGGCATCTCTTTGCTCCCAACTAGAAACAAAAAGCAGCTTTATGTCCCTGAATGCTGGGAAGTTCAAGGAAAGTTCTGGAGGCTTAGTTTCCAATGAAACATAGGGGCTATCAAAGAAATAACTTTCAACCTGATGTAAATGATATACTTATCCATACGGCTTCTCACACAGCAGCTACAGGGTGCAATGCGACAGGGGATTGCTCTGTTGTTTGGTCTAGTCTGGGGCAGGATGGATTCGGTTTAAATCACAATTTTTTAAAAAAAAAATCATCTCTTTGGACAATTTAAAATTATAAAAATGATTTATTTTTTTAAAAAAATTCAAATCTCCAGCTTGGTCTAAGGAGAAAGCAGGGACGGAAAGAGGAGAAGAGGAACCCCTTAAGCACCTTTGTAGATTGTTTCTCTGAGTCAAATGCATTCTGGATTGTGACTGGCTCTTCCATGACAGGGCTTATCTGGTGGTACTACGGTGGCAGGCACCATGTTTCTGGCACACAAAGCAAAGATCCCCGTGTTTGTGACAGGAGGAATTGGAGGGGTCCACCGTGGAGGAGAGAAGAGTAAGAGAAGCATCATATTAATTCTCAATTAAGAACTTAATTCCTGGAGTCTGTCCTATTATTTTTTTTCCCAAAAATATATCTCCCTGAGTAGGCCCCAGCCATCTCCCATGTTGTCACTTGGAGATTCACTGGCACTAGTGGCATGACATGTATTTGTCCTCCATATTTTAACACATTTCCCTCTCTCCATGTCTAGCAGAACAACTCACGCAAAATTAGCATCTACGTGCTGATACCATTTGCATAGGATGTGTAGGGAGCAATCAAAATTGTGGATGTATTACTTGACTTGACTTTCAGGATCACAGTGGAAAAGTAGAGATGGGGAAACTTTTCTTTCAAGTATTTATTCTTCACTATTTGTCTCTACTTGGCTTTCGTCCAGTGAGCTCAAGATGGCTTACATGGCTTTCTTCTTCTCTTGCTTCACAACAGCTTTGTGAGGTAGATCAGGTTGACAGAGTGTGACTACCCCGAGGTTGTGATTCTGGACTCTCTAAGTACCTGGGGGAAAAGCTTTCCTGGGGTTATATTCCTCAATTATATTGTGGGTATAATATAACCCCTGAGTTATATTGTGAGTATATAACTCAGGGGTCCATGATCCAATGTTCACCAAACTTTAAGGAGTTGTAGAAAAGTGTCTGAGGAAGTTTCCCTACAAGTTTGGGCCCCAAGGTTGTGATTCTGGACTCTCTACGTACCTGGGGGAAAAGCTTTCCTGGGGTTATATTCCTCAATTATATTGTGGGTATAATATAACCCCTGAGTTATATTGTGAGTATATAACTCAGGGGTCCATGATCCAATGTTCACCAAACTTTAAGGAGTTGTAGAAAAGTGTCTGAGGAAGTTTCCCTACAAGTTTGGTGTTTCTAGGTGGTTGGGATCCAGTTTTGTAGCCATTTAAAGCAAAAACAGGTCAATTCATCAAAGAATATTCGTATATATACACTGTATGTATATACATACTGTATGTCCCACATTGACCTGCTGGTGAAAATTGGGATGTGTCCCAAAATATTTTGCTGCCTTTTCCCAACACACTAGGACCTGTGCTTTTGATATATTTTGCTGCACCACTTAGAGACAAACTATAAAAGCAAAATGTGCTGCTTATATACGGCCACATAGCACTTCAAGCACTCTCTGGGCAGGTTATAAGTTAATTGTGCAGGCTACACATTGCCCCCTCCCAGTGAGCTGGGTACTCATTTTACCGACCTCAGAAGGATAGAAGGCTGAGTCAACCTTGAGCCGGCTACCTGGGATTGAACCCCAGGTCGTGAGCACAGTTTTGGCTGCAGTACAGCAGTTTAACCACTGCGCCATGAGGCTCTTGTAAGCTACTAGTATGATATTATTAGATGTTGCATCTTCCTCAAGTCTGACTTATAATTGAAGCCCATTAGATGTTGTAAGGTATTATTAGATGTTGTATCCTCCTCAAGTCTGACTTATAATTGAAGCCCATGTTTATGCCACCATGTAGCAAAGTAAACTGATTTGTGAAGTGTGTGAGATGGCAGAAGCAGCTCCTCACACATCCAGACGGTTTGAGAACTAAGGAATGCCCTCTTCTAATGACAAAGTATATGAAACATATATTTTGGTCCATGGCTGTCAATTTCCAAATTCATTTAATCTCCTCATGGTGCATCCTGGAGGCAGGTTGCTTCATCTTCCTACCTGAAGGTTAGGACCAGCTCAGAAAATAGCTTCTTACCAATGTGCTGCTGGTTGTCATTTGTCCTGGAATACATTACAGTGATGACATTTTCCTTTCAAGGAAAAATAGCTTTTGGGGCACAAATTTGTACCAGGGCTATAGTGATAGTGAATTGATTAACCTCCCCTCCCTTTGTATCTCACCATTCTAATCTCCACCTCTTCCTCCCTTAGCTGTTAGTTTGAAATTAAATCCAAGAACTTATGCTTTTACACATTGACATATTAGTGCCTGGTTTGGCTCCAGACAATGGAAAGCCGAACTATTTTTTTGGGACTGTGACTTCCAGATTTCTCCAGTCAGCGTAGTCTTTGACCATGCTGAGAGGAGGTAGCTCCAGGAAGTATCACCCATCATCATCATCATCATCATCATCATCATCATCATCATCATCATCATCATCATCATCATCATCATCATCATCATCAAAATAAAAATTAAAAAGAGTAATGTTTCCAAATTCTAGTGTTGTCGAGTGTTCTGGTTCAGTGTGAGACAAAAAAAGAGAGAAGATTTTAACTGAACATTAAGAAGAACTTCCTGCCAGTTGAAGCCAGCTGATAAAGGATTGGCTACCTCAGAAGGTGGTGGACTTTCCCTTCACTGAAACATAGGCTGGGGGTGGTAATCTTGCAGGGATGTTTTAGCTGTAGATTTCCTCCTTTGCCAGAAGGGAAGATGCCATGACCTCTTCCAGCTCTACAACTTTATGGTTTTATATGCTGTTAATATCAAATCTTGATTTCTCTCCCACCCCTGCCCTGGTTGCCTACTTTGAGGGTTTGGGATTTGGTGAAGGGACCGTTCTACAACATTTTGATATTGTATTGTCTTCTCTTTTTTCCAGCTTTGGATGTGAGTGCAGATCTGACAGAGTTAGGCCGGACTCCAGTGGCTGTGATTTCTGCGGGTGTCAAGTCTATACTTGATATTGGCAGGACGCTGGAATATTTGGTAACTGCAAAGGAAATGGTAGTGGAGGCTTTTGCTGCTGGAGTTTTTAATTTGCAATATGTTGTGGAATCCAAACAAAAAGTAGGGCATATATTCATCAATAATAATGTACCTTCTATTTATATTAGGGTTATCATTCATTCCTATGGTGTTCCTATCCCTTTCCTGTACTTGTCACTGGTGGTAGAACAGTGATCATAATTTCCTATTCCTCTCTTTCCAAGGAAGATTACTGATTTATTCCTTGGAAATCAATACAGACACAATACAAAAGGAGAGCAAAAAACCACTGCTATGGTCTTGTCAACCTGTGACAGTCTTGACCCCATACAAGGAAACTCTCCCAACACACTTGCCACAGAGAGAGTCAACAGTCTTGCCCCTCATACTACGAAATCTCTCCCAACACACTTGCCACAGAGAGAGTTGCTCTGTGCATGTTACAGAACAACCTTCCTCCACACTGTTCCCCTCAGATGTTTTGGACTACAGCTCCCATCAGTTCAGGACAATATAGCCCATGGGGAAGAATCACTGTGAGGAAAGGCTGTGGCCCAGTGACAGAACACGTGCTTTGCATATCGGAGGTTGTAGGTTCAGTCTCTTGTATCTGCAGTTAGGGCTAGGAGAGAATCCTTCCTGAAATGTTGTAAAGTCACTGGCAGCATGTGTTGCCAGTATTGGATTTGATAGATGGACTGATTCAGGAAAAGGCAGTTTCTGATGTTCCTATTGGAGCACTCAGTTGGAAGATAGCTGTGTTGAAGGAGTGAGGTACTGAGATATAGGAAAAGGCAGTTTCTGATGTTCATATTGGAGCACTCAGTTGGCTGTGTTGAAGGAGTGAGGTACTGAGATAATATCTATAGTCTAAAGCAGTGGTTCTTAACCTTGGGTTACTCAGGTGTTTTTGAACTGCAACTCCCAGAAACCCCAGCCAGCCCAGCTAGTGGTGAAGGGTTCTGGGAGTTGCAGTCCAAAAACACCTGAGTAACCCAAGGTTAAGAACCACTGGCTTAAAGCAAAACACACCAGAAAATATACCCATCTGGGGTGGAGAGAAAACATGGGATCTATTCATAGATTAGCTGCTCCATTTCGATCCTGCTTGGCTCACTCTGGAAGCCTTTACTGCTCTTGAATCTGGCTGTGCCATCTCCTGTAATGCAGTTTCTGCAAAGTTTTAGCCAAGTAAGGTGGACTTTAAGTCAAGTCAAATGGTCTGGGAATACATTTGACCGTTTGGGTGTGGCAGAGCATGGGATCAAACCAACCCATATTTAGTATGATAGGACTAGAGGCCAGGGAAGGGATTGTAGCACAGTGATACAGAGTTTGCTGTGGGTGCAGAAAGCCCTGGGATTAAACCCTAGTATTAACCTCCTGATATCAGCCTAGCATCACCCATCTTCTGGGCGGTGGTTAAGTTTACAGTTTTGCAGTTTCATACGCTCTGTACAAGGAGGCAAGAGTAATGTCATCAAGGCAAGATGGCTTGCTGTCTCACTTGTATCTCAGTGTTGCCTGTTTTCCTTTGTCCTTTCCCGTTTTGCCTCTGTAGGAAACTCAAGGGGTCTGTGTGGCTACCTTTGGAGAATCCAGAGAGTTTCCAGCCTTCTTTTCCCATCAGAGTGGCTTCCAGGCACCTCATCAGGTGCAAAATGTGGACGAAGCTGCCCAGATGATTGGTGAGCTGTTGGTGGGACAAGGCGCTGCTTCTGTGAGAGAAGTTGGAGTGGAGTTTAAGCTGGTGGCCTTCTCAGTTTCCCTGCCAAAAGCTGGAAGTCCTTTGCATGCATAACTCATAATCTGAAGCTTGTTGAAGTCAACAGCACTTAGGTAAAGGTTCTCCTTGACATTTAGTCCAGTCGTGTCCAATTCTAGGGCGTGGTGCTCATCCCCGTTTCCCAGCCATGGGGCCAGCGTTTGTCCGAAGACTGTCTCCGTGGTCACGTGGCCAGTGCGACTAGACACAGAACGCCGTTGCCTTCCCACCGTGGTGGTACCTATTTATCTACTCACATTTTTACATGCTTTCGAACTGCTAGGTTGGCAGGAGCTGGGACAAGCGACGGGAGCTCACTCTGTTGCCTGGATTTGATCTTAGGACTGCTGGTCTTCTGACCTTGCAGCACAGAGGCTTCTGTGCTTTAACCTGCAGCGCCACCACGTCCCAGTAATAGCACTTACCTTTGCAATAGCATTTACCGTTGCATTAACACACATGTTGTTGTTACAGTCTATCTCATCACGTGACCCTATGAATTAATGCCCCCGCCCCCGAATGTCCTGTCACTAGCAGCCTTGTTCAGGTCTTGCAGACTAAAGACTGTGGCTTCCTTTATTGACTAATCTGTTTCATATTTGTTCTTACTCTTTTCCTATTGCCTTCTATGGCTGAGACTACACAGGCGAGCCAAACCGGACCGATTCGGTTTTGCTGTAGTTTCATTCACAGCCCAGTTTCTGCTTCTTGTTTGGGTTGGGTCATTATGTGGACACTATGTGTCATTTCAGTATTTGTATTTCATATATTGAGGGATGTATTTTCTTTGGTTGTATCATTTCAGATTCCTGGTGCATGATAGCATGTTGAATGTTTTCCTTGCCAATAAAGAACCTCTTGTTTATAGAAAGTAAAGGAGTCAGCCTGGCCACCTCTGTGGCCTGCTGTTTTTCAGCATGCTGGGAGATTTTTTCATGAGGCTACCATGAAACTTGCAAATGACTGTGTGCAACCTGAAATTCCATAGTCCCAACAGAATATTATCACCAATTTTGCCACTTGAATAAATATCAGACAACAGATCAGCAATGGGTTCTCACTTCCAGCCTCTGGACAACAGAGGCAATACAAATGCTGGCATTCCTCCTGAGTTAGGCTGCTGAAATTAAGTGATCGAAGTGATAAAATAAGAATGTATGAAGTGATTAGAAATTGACTCTGTCCTGTGCAACAATGGCTAACATATAAAGAATGAACAATTACTTCCCCCCCCCTTAAAAAAAATACAGAACCCAGCAGATTGTTCTTGCGTGACTAAGTTTAGCTACAGGCAAGGAGAGACTACAGTCTCTGGAGGTAAAAACTGAAGTGTGTATTTTATTCTAAACCAAATCTTGGTGCATTTCTGCTTTTTCTTTTTCCTCCTTCAAGAGCGTGAATATTGCACTTTACTGTTTACTCTTTCAGGAGGAGCTGGACTCAGACCTAATAAACAAAATATTTTTCTAAAACATAGCTAACAAAAGTGCAATATTCACATCCTTGAAGAAGGTTGAAAAGACCAAGTTGGAATGCACTCAAGCTTTTGTTTTGGGATAAAGTGCACACTACTGTTTTTACATCCTGGGATTATAGTCTGTTGTCTACAGCTTTGGTGGATGTTAGAGGTGGGGGTATTTATATATGAATGTCCCCACACAGGTGGAAATAACGAGGGTCCGGCCCCATGGAGCCAGATTGTCCACTCTCGATTTTGCTGCTGCTGCCGGCTCCACAGAGCCTTCCTATCGGGCCGTTGTCTGCAATCGATTACCCACTCCTGGCAGGAGGCAGGATGACAAGCCTCTCCACTAGGTTGCAGAGTGGCTAATCCGTTATTTCCACCTGTGCGGGGATATTCGTATACGAATACCCCCATCTCTAGTGGATGTACTAACTAGTGCTTTTTTTGCTATTGATTGTTGTCACGATTCCACGTGGCCCCCAATTGTTCACCAACCAAAGAGCTCACGCGACGTGCCCCTCAGCTGCCACCAGTTGATTTCATCAACAATACCTATTATTAATGATAGATGTCCAGGCCATATGTCATTTTAAAAGAACCAAATAGAAATTGTTTGTTGATACTGATGTTGACAGAATAAGCAATGTTAACTCTTAAGCAAACATTCTTCTTTGTCTACCTTCAACCACCATTCTCCTGCCCAAACTTAAGGGCATTCTCCTGCCCAAACTCCAAAACTCTCTCAACTCTCTAATTCTTAATCTCAAAACCTTCTCTCTAGAACCCTATCTAAACTCTTCCTAATTCTTAATCTCAAAACCCTCTCTCTAGAACCCTATCTAAACTCTTCCTCCTGCTGCTGAGTCTCTTATACCTCGTGACTCCGCCCCTCCAGCACGCCCATTGGCCTATGCAGATATCATATGAATATTCATGACCTGGGCGAACACCACAATTGTATTTAGCAACAAGATGAGGTAGCAAGGATCTTTTCTCAGGATTGCGATATACAGTATATAATGTAGGAAGCAATACACCTCTGCATATTGCTAGAGAATGTGGTCAGAGGTTGCATGCCACACTCAAGTCCAGTTGGTGAGCACCCACTAAGCAACAGATTGGCTACTGGGCAATCAGAACGTTAGACTAGATAGCCCTTTGACCTGATCTACTACCGGTGTCTCTCAATTTATGTTCTTCTGTGTTTTCTCAGCCAAGTCATTAATGCTGCAGTTGGGCAGTGGAGTGTTGATTGCAGTGCCTTGTCCTAAAGATCAAGCTGCTTCCTGGCAACTTATTGAAGAAGCAATAAAACAGGCTTTGAATGAAGCTCTGTAAGAATCACTTAAGTCTCTCTTTGCTTTTCTAGTAAATGAATTTATGCTATGTATTTATGTGCTTCTGGAGCAGATTGTCTGTTCAGATACTTCTGATTGTTCAGATACTCCAGATCATACTTTGATAGTGGCATTTTTCTTTCAAAGATATTGAGAATTTTCTTTTAAGATACTATTAGTTTGTAGTGTAGATATGCCCGCGGCCACAAGATAGGATAGCAGGCATGATTATGTGTTATTTAAATAAACCTATGTGACTTGATTATCGGTTGTCATCTCCTCTTGCTCTTACTTTTTCAGGGAAAGAGGGATCACAGGAAAAGAGCTAACACCCTTTTTGCTGCAAAGGGTGAATGAGTTATCTAGTGGGGAGTCACTGAAAGCCAGTATCCTTTCTTAGAAATACTCTGCGTAAGGCCATTCCTTTCCCAAAGAGCCAGTTCCAACCTGGAACTGAAAAGAATCCTGAGCTTCTTGTTTGCCAAACTACAAAGATCTGGCTCTCTTTCCAGGAGAGGCCGTGCATCTACCATATGGGGTGAGCCAGATTCTTCATGGGATCTGTCCAGATTGACCAGTGTTGGTGTGAGGTAGGTCAGGCTACAAAAGGTCTGTTGAGGTCAGGGGGAAGAGCAAGGTGTTGTTTAACATATTACTCCCATCCAAACAGCAAATGGCCCCTTGTAGCCTGATCTGCTGTCAATTGAGCACTTTCCCTGATAGTATGAGGAGGTTCAGGGGAAGTGAAATTATTAGTTTTTCATCGCTCCTCTCTCCTCCTGTTGGTGCCATTCCGTTTTCTTCCTCCTCCTTCCCTGCTTCCCTTCCATCATTCCCTTCCCACTTTCTCTCTCACTCTCCCTCAGAGTCTGGCAGCTGAAAGTTAAGACTGCTTGAGGCTGCTATCTCCTGGCTAAACAGCGAGCGTGCCAAAAAGAATGCATGCCCTACTTTTGGGCTAGAAAGGTGTGCAATAGCTCTTAAAGGGGATAGAAAGGTGTGCAATAGCTCTTCAAGGGGATTGATGACTCAATCTAAGTAGAAACACATGCAGACAATCTTTTTTTTTCCTATCAAAATGTGCCATCAGTGATCTATATATCATCTATATGTGCCAGTATGGACACACTCTTGATTAGAACAAGAAAACTCTGGCATTCATTCCTTGGATTGGGATTGGGATTGGGAGCTTGACGATGGAGTCCTTAGGAGCCTGCGTGGGACAGTGGCTAGAAATTTGCACTTGGTTGCTGAAAACCCATATTTGTCCCCCCCCCGGTTCTGGATCTCAGATCGTCTAGCAAGGTGTTCTCCAGGTTTGAAAGTATGGTAATAAAGGAAGGATAACAAATTTCGTGCAGCCATTTTAGCACACTATCAAAGTAACCTCCTGTCCTGCTTTAAAGGGGACAGTTCTCTGTCCAGAGGCATCTGGTTACTTACAAGGCCACAGGTACAGTTAAAGATTAAAGAATGCAAGAAGGGAGAGCAGGATCTTCACTCTTGGCTGTCAACAGTTAGTGCCTGGAGAGCGGGCTGGGCAGTATGTATATAGGTTATTTGATTTTCTTGCACTGTGGTGAGATGAACTGTACCTCTATTTAAATTATAGTAATTCTTTGCAAATTTGTGCTTGTATCCATACAGTACAGTATATAGCATTGACATATGCCTTATGCAGCATTTCCATGCCTTTTGGCATATTTTTTGGAGGGATGAATTTTCATTTTGTAGGTGCCTTGTCTTAGTTTAGAGCAGGGACAGAAAACTTCAGCAAGGCCAAGGGCCATTTTTCATATTCACTAACTGCTTTGGAGTTGGGCTTTCAGTAGGGCACAACAAAACTAGAAAGCCAAAATGGCTATGTAGCTATTTTTTCTCTTTTTAAATAGACTTCAATACTTCAGCTCTTATACAGAATGTAAAACTATTTTTCATTTAATAAATTGTATATCTTTTTCCAGGTATGAAAATTCACCCATATACATAGACACACTATTTTTGTTTTTATTAAACAAATTCTACTGGAGGAATGGATTTGATTTTCACAGAATGAATAATATTTTATTAAATAATGTTTTTAAAATTATATATGAGCAAATGTAAATAAAATATTTGCTCATACATAATTTTAAAAACATTATTTAATAAAATATTATTCATTCTGTGAAAATCAAATCCATTCCTCCAGTAGAATTTGTTTAATAAAAAAACATTCATTAATTTCTTCATTTATCTATAAATTATTATTTTTCAGATTATTGTACTCATTTCAATAAGACAATACTGAGTGCACATTCTGATTCTCGCAGCAACAGTGAATCACAGCTCTGTGGTTCTATGATGGCTAACCAGTCCTAAACTAGAGTCATGTAACAAGAATTTTAAAAAATTGTCTCTGTGGAAGCTGATGAACCATGTGGGAGGAAATGAGATTTCCAAAAATGTAGTTCAACGGGGTAAAGGAAAATGAACACTCTGAAAGTTACTTTAAGAAACACAAAGTTATTTCTAAACAGGTGAAAAGAAAACAGTCCTACCTTCAATTGAAAAAAAAATCTACCATTGACTTGCAAATTATTGCTTATTTTTAGTGGTGATATTTTTAAGTTTAATGCAAATGTTCCCTGAAAACAATTTATGGGCCCTACATGGTCCACCAGCCACACTTTCCCAACTGCTGAAGTCGAGGACAGCTTTGCCTTACTTTCTTCTCTGCACTCTCGGTTGGGTTCTGGGATATTGTATTTTCCTTTCCTTTCAACAACTTCCATCAGACATTGCCTTGATCAAGAACAATGCCAGAGTGGGCAGTCGCATAGCTGTGGCCTTGAATAGGATCCAGAGAGCCCAGGAAGGGAGAGATGGCTCCCTTCGGAATGAAAATAGATCTCCCACGCCCAGACTGGTGAGTGCTTTGTGCTGTTCAAGTCCTTTGGTGTTCTCCTTGCCTCTAATTGGGTGGTTTCAAGACAGAAACCACATCACGTCTCAAGCAAATCTATTTACAGGAGGACTGTGGTATTCACGGGGAATCGATTCCAAGGCTGATCTGATCAGCTGTTCTTTGGCACCTCCTCTAACAGCCATTTGCTATTTAACATTTTCCTTAAATGGTTGCTGTCTCCGTATCAGGAAAACAAGAAGATGTGCACAAACTGTGTGTACAAATGCAGCATCTATTTCTTCATATTTATGCTTGTTTGAAAACCACTGTCAATGTTGTGTCAGTCAAGAAGATTGATAGAACAGGTAGATCTTGGCTAAGCGCTTCAGGATAGTAACTTATTTGTGAAGAAGGTCCAGTGTCATTCAACCAAAGGGCCTCTCAGACACACCAAGTCAATTTGATCTCTTCTATTAAATCTTTCCTTGTATTTCTTGAGACCTTCAGACTCCACATATGGCCATTTTCTGGGGCTTAAGCTTTTCTGGACCAGTGGGGTAAAGATACAGCTTATGGGCAACTGTAAAGTACAAATTGTCTGGCCCACTCTGTTGGGAAAAGTTACTTTTTCTGAAACTATACCTCCCAAAGTCCACCAGGCCAACATGGCTGCTGTCCATACTAGCTGAGTTATGATAGGTATTTCATTCCATAAAAAGAACTTTTCCAAGCCCCGTGGGAGATACGGAGTAGTCATGTGCTGTGCAACCCTGTTATTCAGCAACCTGGAGCAAACACTTTGTTGACTTAATGTTCAATAGAAAAGGCTGGGGGGAGTATAAGGAGTTCCATGTTGTCTTGTTACACTATTTTCTGCTTTACTTTCAGGTGGTCATTGGTGGCATCAATGTTGACATCATAGCCAAGGCAAAAAATGCAGCAATAGAGGTAATAGCATCTAGTGATTTAAAAAAAATAAAATTAAAATTATATTAAAAACTATATAAATGGAAACACTTCTACATTGCATAACGTTAATTCCACTAACACTAAATTACACTTCTTATCAATACTTCATTCCACCCGTGCCCTCATCATCTTTGGGGCTAGGTTCACATTTTAGTTTTCCTTACATTTCATCCTGCCCCATTTCTGTCCAGAAACACATTGGTTCTTCACCCTCTCCCTTTCTGAAATGTATGTTCCAGAAATAAATTCCATATTTCTTTAAAAGCATCTAGTGATATGTAGGCCATGCTATCCTTACTCTAGCTGGTCTCTGACAAGGGTGGGGAAAGTTGCATCAGTTCTAACCACAACCAGTGTAGCCAGTGGTTACATCATGATGGGATTGAAGTAGTCCAGTGTTATCAAAAGGGAAACACAGTTCCCATCACTGGCGTGTTGCATCAAAACTTGCTGGATGGAAGGCTGGAGGTAAGCCGCTTAACCATCAAACTAGGAAGAGGGTTGTTTTGTTTGGACCTAAAGATTGTGGGATTCTGGGAGCTATAGTCCAAAGTAACTTATGGGTCAAGAGAACCGGGCACTCGGAAGGGCAGATATTACTATAGAATTCTGAGCTCTGAGTAGAAGTGGTGCAGCTCCATTTGGGGTGCAGCTATAACTTTATTCAAGGGACGTGGTGGCGCTGTGGGCTAAACCGCAGAAGCCTGTGCTGCAGGGTCAGAAGACCAAGCAGTCGTAAGATCGAATCCACACGGCGGAGTGAGCACCCATGGCTTGTCCCAGCTCCCGCCAACCTAGTGGTTTGAAAGCATGCACATGCGAGTAGATTAATAGGGACCACCTCGGTGGGAAGGTAACAGCGTTCCATGTCTAAGTTTTCATGTGACCACGAAAGATTGTCTTTGGACAAACACTGCCTCTATGGCTTGGAAACGGGGATGAGCACCGCCCCCTAGAGTCGAACACGACTGGACGAAAATTGTCAAGGGGAACCTTCACCTTTACCTTTATAACTTTCTTCTGGCTCAAACTGAGGGAACAGCCAGGAGATTTGGGGTAGTTTAATGGGCTCAGCGCTAAGTGACTTGACTGTCAGTTGCAAAGCCCTCAGGACTAAATTCCTTACACTGATTGGTTGACACGTGTGCCAGTCACAAACCACCCCTCCTCTTTCTCGGGAATATTTTTAGAATTATGTGCAGAACAAACGTAGGTTTGAACAGATGACCCCTGTAAATTGTTTTAAATGAGAACTGTGTGCATCTTGCTCGAACGGTGATTCCCAACGTTGGGTAGTCTATGTGTTCTTGGACTGCAACCCTCAGAAACCCTGGCCAGCACACCTGGTGGAGAAGGCTTCTGGGAGTTGCAGTTCAAGAACACATAGGTTACCCAGGGTTGGGAACCATGGTGCCACAGCAATAAGAGGAAATAAGAGGAGGACAGAAAGAGATACTCTATGCACTTGATGCAGTGACTTATCTTGTGTAATTTAGAAGCAAAGGAAGGGGAAAGTAGAATTCCCTGTACAATAGAAAAGCCGACTCATGCTATGCTTCCAGATCCATCTAAATGTGCGCTGAGAGTACCTTAGTATGTGCTTAAAGGAGAAGACGCTTAAACTTAAGTGCCAGGCCAATGGTGAAAGCCCAATGAGGAGAAGAAGAAGCTTATTAGTCCCTTTCATTACTTGAGCCACGATGAGCTATGTCTGGTGGCAGCACTGTAATGTAAAAGAGAACAAGTCAATAATTCCATCCTGTGATAATCTGTGTCAATTGTGCAGGCAACAAAACACACAGTTCCTGCTGTTAACAATATTCATTGGACGCCCTGGTACCATCCAGAAAGAAAGACAAAGCACTCATGTTAGTGCCTCAGGGGGCTAAGGTGTGGTAATAACATACTTTTCAGCCACTTCTTAGGGTTTAGAGAAATTGCAGTGGTTAAAAATAAGGATCATTGTGCGACCTCCACCCAAAAGAAAACAGACATATGGGATTCGTGAGCTGAGTAATGTCAGCATTGCATACGCGATGAAGCCCCCGCTGAATGAAATGGGGTGGCGGTGGCGAAAAGAGGGCTTAAAGCCAATAAGTAAGAAAGACCAGCCTACTTCACCCAGTGGAACATTTGGTGCCAGGTGATGTAACCTTCTTCCCATGCAAGCCGCATCAGGCCACATTTATGATGAGCTGTCAGGAGGCTGAAAAGAGACATGGAATGGTGGGATCGTTATTTAAGCAAAAATTAACTAAGAAAACAATTATAAATCCTTGGAGCTGCAAAGGAAAATATGACCCATGCTGATGGTACGGGTTTTTTTTAAGATCACTTCTATTTCCAAAAGAAGCATAGAGGTCTCAATATTATGGTCTAAGTCCAATTGCTACTCTCAGCTAAAGCAGATCCATTGAATCAGTTGCAGAATATTGAGTCAACACTTATGTGTACCCATAATTTAGTGAGTCAGCTCTAGCTGAGAAGAGTAACTAGATGTTAGGAGGTGACGGGAATGACTTTGGCATAAAGAGTGATTATAGCCCAGCTAGCATTGGATGCCGGTCCAGGAGAGAGCAGAGGCAACGCAATGTAACAATAGGATTAAATGTTGTTGTAATTATTATTATTTAGTTTTGTTGTCCAGGAATAAGGCTTCCGCTTGAAATGTATTAGACTGCAACTGTTAATTAAAAGTTACTATTTCTCGTCTTTTTTTACTAACAGTCAAGTTTACAAGTAGGCTACCCAATTCACATGTCATTAAAAGCAGAGCTCGCATAAAAGTTAGAAGACAGTGTGTTGCTTTTTTGAGGTAAGCAAACAATAATCTATGAGCTCCAGATGCTGCTAGGGGCATGTTTGCAAGTCCCCTGCCACTGCAGAGGCTACCTGATGCCCATGAAGACATTTTTTTTAAAAATGGAGACAAAAATATTGCTATTTCTGATCCCATGGGTCTTCAAGGAGTGACATTTTTGCCCTCCTAACGCCCCCAAACAAACAAAAAAACAACCCCAAAGTGGCAGCATGTTTGCTTAGGATTTCCTTCTCCACTTGCAACCTTTTATTTTACTTTATTTTATTTTATTTTATTTGTGTTTTCCAAGCTGACACCCCCATCAAAATTGTCTACTTGTAGTTTGTTCTAATACAAATTAGTTTGCTTTTTCTTTTTTTGGCATTTTGTTGTTGGGCTTCCTTTCCATGTATGATTTCTCAGACACTATAATTTGGAAGGAATCGCATGCCTGGAGGAAAAACATTGTAAGAAGCAGCAACAAACAAACAAAAACTTCACATTTCCCCTGACCCTCTGTTGGGATTCTTCTTCTGTTTTCCAATTTGTTTCTGAATGGATTTCCAGAAACAAAAGTAAGCTTCTGTTTCTAACCTCCAATTCCTGGAGTATTTACTTCTTTCAGTAGACGGAAGTTCATTACCAAAACCACTGTATTCCACTAGTATAAATACATTTTCCCCAATACCTAGAAAGTGTGACCTGGACAAATGTTTTGATTCTGTTCTCACTTTTAACTTCTGACTTAAAAAAACCAGCAACCTTATGTTGGTGCCCATGGAAATAAGTTGGATTGAATTAAATTGAATAGATACAGGAACACATTCTAAATATACTGTATCAAGATGATGACACATCTCATTTTTGCTTCATTCCACTCTTTCCACTTACAGTATGGAGGGCAGACAAATTTATCCCCAGTGAGACAATCATTTGGTGGTGTGGGGAGAAACCTAGCAGGTAATTAATTCTAATTCTATTATCTCAAGCAAGGTCAGGCTCTCTTTTCTTTATTATTAGAATTGTGATAATCACCAAATGGAAACAGATATGAAATAGTGGCTTGGAAGGCAGGGTGAACGTGCTGTTAGTATTAAGGTACTGGGATGCCTCTAAATCAGTGGTCCCCAACCTTTGGCCTCCAGATGCTCTTGGACTTCATCTCCCAGAAATCCTGGCCAGTAGAGGTGGTGGTGAAGGCTTCTGGGATTTGTAGTCCAAGAACATCTGGAGGCCCAAGGTTGGGGAACACTGCTCTAAATAACTTCTTGGAGAGAGAATTGGTTTTCAGTGGTAGAATGGAATTCATGGAGTTAAAGTTGCAGTTCCAGGTAGTCAGAGCACCAGCCAAACAAGTATGTCACACTGAAACCACTAAAAGCATATCTGAGTAACAAAAAAGTAGAGTTTTGCATCACCAACCCAACATGATTTATGGTATTTTCTTGTAAGCAATGAAAACAAAACCAGATCCACGAAGTCTCTCCTGGGTCTTTTGTAATTAACAGGACATTTTGTGTAGGTTCCAGTGAGAGGTAGAAACTGGATCTGTTTGTTGATCGTGTCAATATCAGTCTGTATTTTCAAGATAGTAATTGATAATAAAACCCTTTTGAGGGAAACTTAAGAATTTGTATTTGTGGAAATGATTTCCAGGTTTAGTGAGGTTTGTTTGTTTGTTTTGTATTGATAAAACTGATGAGAAAAGATACTGTGGAGTTTGGAGGAGCTGATGGATCCCTGGATATGTTCGGACTGGAAGCTTTACAGTAGTCCAATATTAAAGTACAAGCTCAAAAGGGATCCCAACTGCACTGAAAATTCATAATTCATGAATATGAGTACTGTAAAACAACTCAAAGCTTAGCTTCTTCTCAAGCTCTTGTCTCCTCACTTTTCTCTATACAGTATATTATCTCTCTATTTGTCTCTATCTTCCATTGCAAAACTCTGAAGAACAGCGAGCAAGATAAGACAGCCTTTTGCTGGGTTCTGTTGCTGACTGTATTTCTCCTTTATAAATTAGCCTTCAAATTGGTCCTTTTAAAACCTGCAACAGACCTTTTAAATCCGAGTAAGTGGGTGACCAGGGCCATCACCAATTTTAAGTGAAGTTCTTGGGTTGGAGAGCAAGTGGCAGGAGATCAAAGCCCCCACTGGCCATCCTGGTTGAGGAAATCTGGTAGAGTCTGCAGAGCGGCAAGAGGACTTGCCTTCCCATGCAAGCTCAATTCTTGGCATCTTCAGATTAAATGCATCACTTTCAAACAAATAATGGGAAGGATTCTTTGCCTGAGTTTCTGAAGAGCCACAGCCAGATTTAGAACAGCAGACTCGAAGCTTGGGGAAATTCATTTTTGGATTACAACTCCCAGTCTCTCCCCCCACCCCCCCGTCAGCATGGTCCATGGCTTTTCTAAACTCTCCTTAAAGCATCCAAGGCTAGATGATCAAATAGGTTGATCACTGTTATAAGGCAGTTTGCTACTTGGAATAGAAAGATTGCTAGAATGTGGAGGTTCTCTATGTTGAAAGCAAAAAATTCGACAGCAGTAAAAGACTAGCCTGTCTACAGTAAACACATTAAAATGTGCTACTCTATAAGGGGGCATAGTGATCTTTGTTATTCTTGCTGTGACATACTAACAGGGCTACCCTCTTGGACATGTCCTTGCATTTCAAAGTTGTCAGTCCAGAGTCAAGCTTGGTTAGGTTTTTCTCTTCTGATTTCAGATTGTTTAAGTCGTCTTGGGAGGATGCCATTCTTCATCTCAGTCTTGGGCAACGATGAGCATTCTGAATCTGTCCTACGATACTGCAGGCACATGGTAGCTATTCTTAACTACTCTGCAGGGTTGCTGCTTGTATTCTGATAATTGTCCATTCATGATTTTGGTCCTGATACCATGAAGATTTTTCTACAGTAGACAAACATATTTAATCTCATGAAAGGTCTTATATAGGACGGATGCTGAAGCTCCCAGCAGGAAGCAAGGAAGCCCTTGTGTACTACAGGGCTTGTACACATGAGAAATATATTTGGGGATCTTATGTGGCCAACCACTGTACAAAGCTGTGCATTGAAACTTAGGAAACAGTACCTTTTATGTCCTTTCGTTTATTTTTAAATTTGGAGTTTATCAACCTCAGGATTTCAGATAAAAAGAGGGAAAAGATTTTCAGTGGAGTGTTTGATGATTATTTTATCCATACCTTCAGTTTCAAATATTTTAACCTACCAGCTAGGATTGCTAGTTTAGATATCAGTGGGGCAGGATGAGGGGAGATTTACAGTGGCTTTCAAAGGTCTGCTTTTTGGATAAAAGTGCTATGGAACTGAGCAGCAAAAGTAATGTATTTTTATTCTAGTGATTTCAATGCAAGAATATAGGCTTCGATAGATCCATGTTCATACACTCAATCAATTAATCTGACTGGAGACTCTTGGGACAGTTGTTACCTTTTAGCATAAACCTATGACACAAGGCTATTCAAATGCCCTCAAGTCAGTTCCAATTTATGCTAACCCTTCCCAGGATTTCCTAGGTGTAGAGAACTCCAAATTGGCTTCCCATCCCTTTTTCTTAAAAGCGCTGTAGGACCATGTAGTTTTCCCAAGGCTGCATAGGCTGATTGTTTTCCTACAAGGTATCTGGAGCACCACAGAACTGATCCCTGAGCCATCCATGCGGGCTAAGATGGTTGGGGGAGGTCATAAGCACAAGGAATGGGCAGAGTGCATCCTTCCAGGTGGAAACAAATTCTAGTTTCAATAAAACTGGCAGTAAGTATAGGCAGATTGAGTTTGTATACATCATGGGTGATCCAATGTGTCCTTCCAGATGTTTTTGGCCTGCAGGTTCTATAAGCTACAGACTAGCCAACATATCTATGGTGTGGAATTATGGAACTTGCCCCACTCTGCACATAGGACCAAGGAAGACATAGACATATATTCTTGGAAAAGCACTCAGAATCCAAGAGAAGCAAGACAGGAAGAGTTGGGCCTGCATGTGATTCACTGAGTCCAAGAAGACTTGGGCATGGGCACTTGGGCTATCTTCCCTGCATGCTTCCCCTGTGACACCTGTCACACATTCACCTTGTAGTGTTGATGCAGATCTCATTGAACTAGGGATGGATTTCTTTGTCCCAACGAGGATGTTTGTTATGTGTCATAAACATAGGCTTGCTCTGTGCAGATCTAATTGAATTAGGGATGGAATTCTTTATCCCGACGAGGATGTTATGTGTCATAAACATAGGCTTGCTCTGAAAACCCCAAGGATGAAAGAGATAGAGGGAGGTACAGAGAGGAAAGGATATTTCACTGGATTTGTCTTCTCTGCAATTTTTTTTTTTCTTTGAGGATATGGCAGGTGTCTCGCAACTGAAAGGGCACAACACAGCCACTTACTGTGCAGTGATCACAGGCCGCGGAGAACTCACCCTTGGCTTGGGAGATATGGACATCCATCAGCAGATCACAGAGCAATACGTGAGTCTCTTTTGTATCCTATGGGGTTTGCAACCCTTCATCTTCCATATTTATGTACTTCCTTTGTCCCCTATTCTTCCAAGATGCAGAGGCTGTTGCGCTACAACGAAAGAGCAGATTTAGGACTGTATTCGGAGAGGTGCTTCCAGATGAGACTTCTGTTGGGCAAATGCCTGTTATTTTGCCAGGGTGGAGTGGGAAAGCCTGCATAGTTTCCACTCAAATCACAATGTGTTTTCCGCACCACTTCTTGCATCTTTCTCCCAAAGATCGGTTAAGGCAGAAAATGCAGAATTAGCTGCTCTGTATCCTCTGATGGGTGCTGCAAGGAGCCCTCTGACTGGAGGAATCCTCTAACCCAGTTCCTGCAGGATTAGGGTGGCCTTCTACACAAATTACATGATTGAGCCTAATTTCCCTTCTTTTACTTCACTGTGATGTCAGACTTGGGTTGGAGAGGCATCCTATTCTATGTTCATTTCTCTCAAGTTGCAAAGTTTACATCTTTCCTAAAGGTGTAACTACATGGGCTCCTTTGGAGTGGGCTAGTGTGGGATAAATAGGATAACTGGGGTAAATTGGAAGTGTGATGTAATCCGTGGGCTAGTGTGGGATAAATAGGATAATTGGGGTAAATTGGAAGTGTGATGTAATCCTCACATCCAAATGGCACATTAATCTGCCAATATCCTGAAGTGGCTCACTTATTAAGCCACTTCACAATATTGGCAAATTTAAACCCAGATTAGCTGGGTATGATCAGCTCCAGCAATCATACACACGGGAACTAATTCAACTCAGAACCATTCTACCCACACCAGCAAAGTAGGAGCCCTGACAGGAACTCACTCTTGGGGGTGGGCTGGTTTTTTCCAACAAGGACATCCCCTGATCCCCATTTTTAAGAGTGAAGCAGCCTGTTCCTGCAGCAGAACAAACAGTTGGCTAAGCGCCCATGTGATCAGTCTCTAAGTAGGCTGTGGAAGAGATATATTTTGCAGTGAAGAAAGCATCAGCTTTGGGTAACGGCTTCTGCATCCTTATTTGCTTCTGCATCCTTTTTTGCTTCTACTTTGTGCTCTCCTCCAAAAGAACAACAGCATTAAAGAGAGGATTTATGGAAACAGTGAGATGAATGAATGCAGTCTGCTTTTTGCAGAGACACGTGAAGCTGCATAGGTGAAACGAGAATTTTTAAAAATATGATAAAAACGCGGTGGCACCTTAAAGACTAACTTTTACATAGAGAATTTTTTAAAATATGATAACAACGCAGTGGCACATTAAAGACTAACTTTTACATTTTTTAAATCTGAAATTGCTTTACTGTATAGTGTCAGGACATTGACCTGTCTTGCCCAGTGTTTTCTGCATAGACTGGCAGCCAAGATCTTTTTCTTTAATGGGTCTACTCCTGTTTAAGGATGCACAGGACAGGAACCCAAATCATGCAGAAGGAACCAGCTAGAGCAGATCAAGTTTAATATTTGGTCAGAGCTTGGGAGAGCTACATTTTTGGGCTATAACTCGCCTAGCATAGGCCCTGGCCACGCTCATTAGAGGGAGGCGTTAAAAAACACACACAACTTTCCCAATCTTTGTGTTGTCTTGAGTACTAGTCTGTGTTGTAGGTTTTATTCCCAGTCCTGGGAGCCTTTTAGCTAAAATTCATCTAGTAAAACATCACAGTAGAGCATCTGTCAACACAAGAAGGCCGATAGAAATGTCGAGACTTTCTTGTGTTATTCTTTAATGGAGCCTTGAAAATGGAAGATTGCTTATTGGTTTTACCCTCTTGTTCCTTTCTTTGATAATGACATGAGGAGTGGAAAGGGGTGGAGAAAGGGTGCCAGCAGTGACTTCTTTTTTCCTTCCATCTTCAGTCTTTTAAGGGTCTTACTTAGAAGTGAATTGCTGACGTGGAGATGCCTTCTTAAAAACACCATCAACTGTTGAGTCTTGATCCCATCCCCACCCTCAGTTTTTATTAATAAGGGAAAGGGTGGGATTGGACCATTCCTTACCATCTCTTCCATTAGTGTCCCAAAATATTCCTCACCCACAAGCAGGCTGTGTTTGTCTACATTTCTGTACTTTAGCATGCCCAGTTGTTGTTGGGAAAGAGTGGAGCCAGAAGAGTGGACCTCAGCATCCCATCATAGCTCCTGCTGATCTCTGAAGAACAAGCTTAGCTTGGGTGGTAATAGACTCAGCAGTGGCTCAAAATACGCCTACAGCTACAGATTACCTGGGCTGATTGTAAATGGTGTATCTCCAGTAGGAAACCAGTGTGCAAAATGAGATAAGCCTCTTCACATGACCCTAAACTTGAGAGTTGGCTCTCCCATAGATTGCAAAGATTGAAGAGAATCTGTCAAGTAGCAGAAAGCTGCTAGGAGGGGTAGCAGTATCAGCCCCCACTTATTCTTGATCTCTGGTGGACCCCAATAACTCATCCAGCTTCAGCAGTAATAAATTTGTGGTGGACTAACTTGATAATCAAAGTTAATGTGTTTCTGGAAGAAACTTTTATTTTGCAACCACCCTGCCTCATAGTCACAAAATTGTTCACAGAGGTGTGTGTCTACACAACAGTGATCTCTCCTGGAATATTGTGATGAGTTACCATGGTTTAAGAGAGATTTTGACAAGTTGGGATGTACCAAGAGAAAGGTGACCAGAATGGTAAAAGATCTGGAAACCAAGCTTTACAAGTCATGGCTGAGGGAGCCAGGCATGTGTAGCATGGAGGAGAGAAGACTAAGAGGCGGTATGACAGGCCTCATCAAGTATTTGAAAGGTTGTCTCATGGAAAGTGGGGTTAGCCTGCTGTAGCTTGAGCGGGTAGGAGAAGTAATGCGTTTAAATTTTGAGAAAGGAAAGTTTGCCTAACTTCTTGACAGGAAGAACTGTTTTAAAAAAACGAATGGACTATCTTGGAGAGTGGTTGATTCTCTTTTGTTGGAGGTTTTTATACAGAGGTTAAAGAAACAACGGTCAGAGGTATATTAGCTCTGGATTTCCTGTCTCAGCAGAAGGTTGGACTCATGAGACCCTTGCAGTCTCTTCCAGCTCTACAACTGTATGACTCTATGGAATCTTGCTGGACATTCACAGTTGTGTGAGAGCCTTGCTGACAGATGGTTGCTAGTTAAAGAGGTGTCAATTATGTTCCTGCATTGCACATCCACGAATGCAGCCAGCACCTTGTTACTTTGCAGAAGCGTGCTGTTTCCGTTTATGTACTTTGCCTTACCTGAATGTATATTGCAAATAAGAGTCTTGCCAGCGTTTTCCCATATTTTTCTAGCCCTTCTTTTATCCTTTTTCTTGCTGAAGTGACAGACAGAAGCGTGCCCAGTGGTTTCTGAATAGTGGTGCTAGGACCCCTTTGTCCGGAGGCACCATTTATGCAGAAAAAAGGAAGATAAAAGGGAAAATACAGTTGTTGTTCCACAGCAAACAGTCAGGATGTCTTGGAACGTGCCTAACCAAGGAGTTCGGTTCAGCCCCTTTACTTTAGGAAGACAGGGCATATCTCCTTCTTAGCATCACTTCAGCTTTTCCATTGCCCACCGTCTCCTACAATCTTTTCAGGTGTCCCAATTCAAAGAGAATCTCTGTTTGGCCCCACTAATATGCATGGATGGGAATGTTCCAGTTTCCACCATTGAATACATCTGTCAGATTGCCAGAGAACATCACCTGACAGGTGAGAAATGGCACTTGTTAGTAAACTTGCAAGCAGCACCTGCTTCATTGTATAAAGTGTGCTTTTCACATTACCTTGTGAGTGAATCTCCTTGCCCTCATTTCCGATCTAGGCAAATTCTCTGCATATTTTGAAAAAGTAGAAAAGGGACTCCAGCCACTCTTGTTTGCCATTCATTATTTCCTCTACACACATAGCATTTAGCAAGACCTTCATGTGTATACAGCCCCCTGCCCGGCAGAGAGGAAACTCCAGAATATCCAAATCAAAAGTACTAATCAAGGTACACAGAGCACAAAGCATGCATGAGGAGGGGGATGCCTTGCTGTTATTTGCCATCAAGTTGCCTCTGACCTATGCCAACTTTATGAAGGAGTGACCTCCACTCATTATTTTTGTTTCCAGAGACAGTTCAGGGTTGATTTGATTTAGGACCTACTTGGTCATCTTTCTGGTGCCCCAATGTATCTACAAAAGCTCTCCTCCAGCACCTTATTTCAAATGAAGGCAAAGTGGCTGTCCAATGAGGCCTTACAAATAGCGGAGAAGAGAAGGGAAACAAAATGCAAGGGAGATATGGAAAGTTACAGAAAAATGAATGCAGTCTTCCAAAGAACAGCAAGGAGAAACAAGAGGGTCTTCTTAAATGAACAGTGCAAAGATACAGAGGAAAATAATAGAAAGGGAAAAACCAGAGATCTGTTCAAGAAAATTGGAGATATTAAAGGAAGATTTTGTGCAAAGATGGACATGATAAAGGACAAAAATGGGAGGGACCTTACAGAAGCAGAAGACATCAAGAAGAGGTGGCATCAATACACAGAGGAATTATAGCAGAAAGATCTGGATGTCCCGGACAACCCAGAGAATGTGGTTGCTGACCTTGAGCCAGACA